AAGGTAATTACTAAAACACAGGTCTTTGGAAAATCTAAACAGAGAATTGATATCTTTGCTAGATATTCTTTTAAAAAAATTATTATTGATTTTAGAGAAACATTGATTTGTTTTTCCATGTATTTTATTCATTGGTGTGTTTTTTTAATCATTTTTTATTTTCAATTACAGTTAACCTACATTATTATATTGGTTTCGGGCGTACACCACAGTGATTAGACATTACGTAACTTGATAAGTGGTCATCCCAATAAATCCTGCATCCATCTGACACCATGTATAGTTACTATACTATTATTGATATATTCCCTATGCTGTACTTTACATCCCGTTATTCTGTAACAACCAATTTGTACTTCTTAACCCCTTTACCTTTTCACCCTTCTCCCCACCTCACCATCTGACAACCATCAAAATGTTCTCTGTGTCTATGATGGTTTCTGTTGTTTGTTCATTTATTGTTTTTTTATTCAATTGTTGATAGATGTGTATTTACTGACATTTTATTATTTATATTTTTTATTTTCTTCTTCTTAAAGAAGACCTTTAACATTTTACATAATACTGGTTTGGTGGTGATGAACTCTTTCAGCATTTTCTTGTCTGAGAAGCTCTTTATTTGGCCTTTGAATCTAAATAACAGCTTTGTTGGGTAATCTGGGTTGTAGGTCTTTGCTTTTCATGACTTTGAATATTTCTTGCCAAACCCTTCTATACCACAAAGTTTCTCCTGAGTAATCAGCTGACAGTTTTATGGGAACTCCCGTGTAGGTAACGAACTGCTTTTCTCTTGCTGCTTTTAAGATTTTTTCTTTGTATTCAACATTTGGCATTTTAGTTATGATGTGTCTCTGTGTGGGCCTGTTTGGATTCATCTTGTCTGGGGTTCTCTGCACTTCCTCGACTCAGGTGTCTATTTCCTTGACCAGTTAGGGAAGATTTCTGTCATTATTTTTTTTAAAGATTTTATTTATTTCTTTTTAGAGAGGGAAGGGAGGGAGAAAGAGAGAAACATCAATGTGTGGTTGCTGGGGGCCGTGGCCTGCAACCCAGGTATGTGGCCTGACTGAGAATCAAACCTGAGACACATTGGTTCGCAGCCCGAGCTCAATCCACTGAGCTATGCCAGCCAGGGCTGATTTCTGTCATTATTTTTCAAACAGGTTTTCAAATGCTTGCTCTCTCTCCTCATTCCAGTAGCCCCATGAAGTGAATATTGGTATGACTGAAGTTGTCTCAGAGGCTTCTAACACTGCCTTCATTTCTGTTGTTGTTGTTTTTTTTTGGGGGGGGGGTTCTTTTTTCTTTTGTTCTGATTGGGTGTTTTGCTTCCTTATATTCCAAATTGCTGATTTAACAGCTTCATCCATTCTACTGTTGAAATCCTGTAAATTGTTCTTTATTTCAATTAGTGTATCCTTTATTTCTGACTGGATCCTTTTTATGCTATTGAGGTTCTCACTAAGTTCCTTGAGCATCCTTATGACCAGTGTTTTGAACTCTGCGTCTAGTTGGTTGCTGGTCTCCATTTTGTTTAGTTCTTTTTCTAGAGTTTTATTCTGTTCTTTCATTTTGGCCATATTTCTTTGTTTTCGTGTTTTGGCAGCCTGTGTTTGTTTCTATGTATTAGGTAGAGTTGCTATGATTCCCTGTCTCGGCAGTACAGACTAATGTAGTAGGTGTCCTGTGTGGTCCTGTCACCCAAGCTGGGTGCTCAAGGTGTGCCCACCATGTGGGCTGTGTACACCCTCCTTTTATAGTTGAGCTTTTATTACTATTGGCATGTCAATGGGATTTACCCAGGCCGATCAGCTGCAATGACTGACTGTGACTTCTGACCACCAACCTCTGACCACCATGGGGGATCAGCTGTGCAGGGGCCCACTCCACAGAGCAGGACTTACTTCAGCAGGGCTCTGGTGCCCACTGAGTTTGCCCTTGAGTGTGTCAATTGTGGAGGTGGTGTTCCCATGTGGTCTGAAGCTGTGCACTGGGTGTGTTGGCTCTGGGACCTCCTCGGAGGTGCTAACCAAGGTCAATCATCTGTGTTCTGCCCCGGGACCACCTGGCATAAGCTACAGAGCAATCTGCAGATGGCAACTATTTGTGCTGGGCTTGGAGGTGCCCAGGCAAGACGAACCGGTAAACCAAGGGTGGCTGCTGCTAGTGCCAGGCCTGGGGCCACTTAGCAAGAGGTACAGGGCTTGCTGAGGCCAGATGCTGTTTGTGTAAGATAATTTAGAAAAATGTAAACCATGAACTGAGACAAGCTATTTGTATGAAAAAGCCACTGGAAACACCTTGGGTGGGCCTGAAAATTGAGCAGGGAAGGGTCTCAGGGAATCACCAGGGTGGGACAGAGTGTGAGCCAGGTTGATGGATTCTCAGATATGATGTCCTCCTAGGGCTCTGGCGGGGGAGGGCTCATCAAAGGTACCAGCACTTCTGTATGGGAGAAAGCTGCCCCCCAGCTCTTGCCCTGATGTCAGAAAATTCAGCTCATCCCTGTGCCTTTCAAGCTGCTGTCCCCATGCTGGAGCTCAGAGGAAGTGAGTCCAAGTAAGTCCATGAATGGAACCTTTAAGAGGAATTGCTTAGGACTACAGAAGTTTCTACCTTCCTCAGTCTCAATCCCTACTGGTTTTTAAAGGCAGGAGTTACAGGAACTTCTCTACCTGGCACTGGAACCCATGGTTGGGGGCCTGGTATGGGGCTGAGACCCATTGCTCTGGAGATAGCCCTCCTGATTTTTATCTGCCACGAGTGGGCGTGGGACAAGCCCATTCCACATTTCCACTCCTCCTACCAGTCTCGATGCGTTTTCTTCTTTAATTCCATAGTTGTAGGATTCCAGAAGTGCAATTTCTGGCACTTCTTAATGATGGTTATTCTGTAGTTTAGGTGTAATTTTGATATGGTTGTGCGAGGAAGTAAGTACTGAGTTTATGTGTTCCACCATCTTGACCGGATACCGGTTGACTCTTGTATGTGCCCTGACTGGGGATCCAACCCACAACCTCGGTATGTCAGGACGATGCCCTAACCAATTAAGCTAACCTAACCAGGGCCTGTAATAGGTCATTATTAACACCCTGAGAGACACTGTCACTCTCCATGATGTGTGTTGATTCCCTTTTTTGCAAAGAAAAAACAAAAAATGCAACTTGTTCAACTATTTAAAAAAAGAGAGAGAAGTGTATGGAAGATCTTTTAACAAAACAAACATCACAAAAACAGAAAAAGGCAAAAAAATGTGTGATAATTCTCTAAAGGCTAAAACTAACTAAAAATGCATTCATAAAAAATGTAAAAGGTAAATAACATCTTAAAATATTCAATTAATTTTGTTGAATATGAAAAATACTGTTTTTATTAGTTTGTAGAAGCATTATTTTATTCAATGTTTTATTACATCAAATTTTAAAAAAGAAACTGACTAAATTTAAACAATATTTAAACAAAGATATCTATCTCATTTTAAGTCAATGCAAATTTTCACTAATTTAGAACTCTGTATTAGCATATTAACACTTGGGGAATTTTTGGAAACATACATTATTATATATAAAAACTGTTTTATAAGAACTTAGGAATAAGAAATGGTTCATAAAACTTTACAAATCTTCCTAAACTGCTTTTAGTACAATGAAAATTATATACTTTGATTTTTAATAAAAATTTCAATTATTTTACAACCAATTTGGAACAGAAGTAAATGTCTAATAATTGTTTTGAGAATTAACATTCATTAAGATTACTATAGCTGATTACACGTAAAACATACACACACACAAAACTAGAAGAGACTGACTAGTTCTGTTCTAAAAAATAATAATGAATTAATAATTAGGTTGGAAATCATGACTTAAAAGTTAGTATGACATAGAAAATATCATTACATAAAAATTCGTGGAGAGGACATTGTTATGGTCAGCTTACCATTATTAGTTGCAGCAGTACTGTATCTTGCACACATTTACAAATCAGGTTTTCACACTGACAATATATTTTAACTGCTTTGATCATTAGTACATGAAGATGTTGGCTGAGTTTGAAACAGAATAAATTACATTTATATATACCCTAAACAGGGCAGTTTCCCAAGATTAAATGCTGTTATTTTTAAATACCTTTTTAGAACACAAACATCTAATTTTATCTTACATCATTATGAATAAACATGAGAGCTTAAAAATATTAACCCACTTTTTAAATATAATTGGTCCTAAAGTGCCTTGACTTATTGCTTAGCAACAAAATTCTATCCCCTAGTATGGACCCTCAAGCTTTTTGGGAAAGATTTTGGGGTCAAAACTACAAACATCAAATATAATCAATGTAACAAAGTAATGACCCTCAGGAACTCTGTCAGTATGACAAGTGTTTATTTTACAATTACTGCTTCTGTAGCTGTAGCTCCTCCCTCACTACTTCATATTTTAGGTTCTATAAGTTCCATCCTTCTGGCACTTCTATGTTTTTCCTACATTTGTTTAAAGAATCAACATATAAAATTTTTTGCATTATTCTGGTTCAAAGGTAGATCCACATTTTTCCTGAAGCCTAAAGTAAGATTTTTCTTTCTTTTTTGATGGGGGAGAGGGAAAAAGGAAGAGAGATGGGCTTGGTATCTTGCTAATTTATAGGGTAGCATCAGCGTTACTGGTTGTTTCCTGATGAGTAAGACTGCTAAAGGAATACCATACATACCAAGAAATGGCCCTGTAATCATACTGAGGGCAGCAGTTAATGCTTCCAGCTCAGAAAAAAACAAATAATACAATAATCTGCTAATAGTCATTAGGCATTTGGTACTATATGAACATAAATATTTCATCTACTTTACAAAGTAATAGTAATTAAAGGTACATAGTCTATGAAATTATTTGTAACAAAAATTTCACTAGGTAAAATTTCTTATTATTTCCCAATATTAGCAAATATTGTACATTTGTCAGAGTACCTGATACTTTTTAAAATATCAAGTTATATAGGACAAGTTGTTATAAAGCAAAACACAAACCTGGGAAACATTTTATTTTTTTTTGTACTTCATGTAACATTGTTCAGGATCACACGATTTTAAAGGTCTCTTTCCAGTAACTTTTGGATTAGAAATACCATTTAAAAATACTTACTGATGCTATAAATATTAGTGCTTTTCTACATACTGACAATCTTAATGAATGTCATATCCATTATACCTTTTGCTCCTTTGGTCAGAAAGATAAACAGAAACTTTTAATGGTTAGATATTCAAACAGTTTTTAAAAACACCCAAACAAACCAAATGTACATCAACATATGTTAAAATTAGTTTTAGTTGTTATTATTAAGAATTCTGAACAAGGATATACTGAAGCATGTATGTGATTTTTAAAATTATATACAATTTAAAAAACAAATTTAAATTTACAAACAAAAAGATTAATGGCCAAATTAAAGAAAGTTTAAGCATCAGATTGAAAATATCTTAAGTTTTCAGCTATTCAGAAATATATTTTGTGAATAATAAGAATTATTTCATAAATATATATGTATAAATAGATATATATCTACAGGATTTGCAATGTAGGAGAAAACCCTTTAAAGAAAAAAATTGCACTTGTAGATTATCAGGATGTTGTCATCTTTACCCTTTAAGTGAAGTATGATTACCATTCCAGGTCTTTTGGCACAAATTTTAAGGAGAATATTGACACAATCTTAAAAACACAATGCTTTTATATTTTATTTACTGTAATATGAAGAATCAAACAGAATTGATAATTCTGACCAAAAAAAAAAATCCAGGTAACTGTAATTGCTTAATTAAATACCAAAAAATATTGTTTTTTAAAAAACCTTCAACCTGTCTTTACATCTGGAACATGTGAAATTTTACCAGCAACAGGTTTTCTTCAATCCCTTCAGCAAGAATTCCCAGCCTTCACACAAAGGTAACATTGTCTTTTCCTACTCATATATGACTTAGATTACACCCCAGTATATAAGGACAAAAAATAAATGTATAATAAAAAGATTGGGTAAATCAGGAGAGGCTTTTTGGTCTTGAATTCTTCACCCACTAACAACGAAGCAGCACTGTAGGCAGCCCAAAACACACCGAACAGCTTTAAAAAACAAGCAAAAAGACAAAGGGAAGCATATTAGCAAGTCAATTAACATTCTGCACAATATGCAGTAAAAATAATATTGACAATATTGTTTAAAACAACCCAGGCAACCAATTATGGAAACAGTAAAATTCATTGAGAATGTCTAAAAGTTTCTAAGAATGTTCATCCTTGCTCTGCTACTTGACTTCTGCAAATGAAATGTTTTGTTATCAAACTCGTCCAATCCAAGGAATCACCTAGGGTATCTATTAAGAAGAAAATCCTGGGATTCACTCTAGTTCTTATGAGTCAGAATTTTGAAGAAAATGGTCTGAGTGTGTCCCTGGAGATTTTAAGATAAGGCAACTTCTGGAAGAACTATTATTGGGCCAAATTGCTGAAATTTGCTGAAAGAAAACTAACTGATTCTTACACAGAAGAAATTTTTTCCTTTCTTTTCTTCTAAGAAGAAGGCAGATTAAGGAAAAATTCACATAATATTTATTAAGTATCACACTGTTTCCCCAAGAATAGATGGAAGTCTAGGATTAAATAAAAAGGAGAAAAAAAAACCCATAACATTGTGGTCAACAGTTAAATTAAATAAAACACATTGTGGTTTTCAAATTATACACATACCTAATTTTAAATGATTTCCACTGGAAATTTATATTGTACTTACTGAGACAGTTACTCAAGCCATTTTACAGGGTAATATGAAAGAAATACTTCAAGGATAGAAATTGGGGAAACTACTGTATGATACAAACAGACTTGGAACAGAGCAGGTTATCTTAACCTTGTAGTACTGACATTTTGGGGCTGAATAATTGTTGTGGGATGCTGTACTATGCACTATAGAATATCTAGTAGCATCCCTTGCCTCTACCTACTATATACCAGTAATGTTCCACCACCATCCCAATTTGTGGCACCCAAAAATGTCTCCTTGGGTGAAAAAATTACCCTCAGTTGAGAACTACTCGTACAAAGGTGAAAAATAAATACTGACAGACTGACTGAAAATATATTTGAGATAGTTCCACCTTCTACTGTGCTTTTTAAACGAAACAAGCTAAACAAAACCAAAAAACCACACAAATATTTTAAGCCTACAGAAAAGTACAGAAAAATATATGAAATAAAATTATGATCAAATTGCATTTGTATGTCATACTTCATTTTTTTATAAATAAACGGTTAACAGTTGGTAAGAGTTACAGAGATTTAATTTTAATTTTAATTTTTTTTAACGACAGTTGCCTTTTCTTAAGATTTTATTTACTTATTTATTTTTAGAGAGGAGAGGCAGAGGGAGAGGGAGAGAGAGAGAGAAACATCAACGTGCGCTTGCTGGGGCATGTACCCTGACTGGGAATTGAACCTGCGACACTTTGGTTCGCAGGCCGTGCTCAATCCACTGAACTACACCAGCCAGGGCTAGAAATTTAATTTTTTTAAAAATTCAGTGGTTGTAAATTAAACTGTATTCTAATGCAAAAGTTAAAAGGACAAGAGTTCTGCAACATGTTCCTCAACAAAACCTCGACTGAAGCAAGAAAGAGCTGACTACACACAGAAGAGTAAGTGATTCGGGGGGAAAATTTAGCAAAGAAAAATGTGAAGTTTAAAAACAATTTTATCCTAAATTTTTAATGATATAAATAAGATTTTCCATTTTATAAGAATACATTTGTATGTGGCATAAAGAATATTAAGGACCATTTTTCAGTTGAACTTGACAACTAAAAATGACCAGGGGACACGGTTTTAGCAATTTTGAGTGTAGTCTCAGCAGTATGCAAACAGGCTTTAACCCAAGTAACAACCAACCAACCAATCCAGAATCAGGAAGGGATTCCAAATGATTCAGTCAAGTGGTATGTTCATGAAGGCTAGAGAATTAAATGCCAGCATGGGACTAGCTCCTATACTGTAAGACTTTTAAACAAAGTGCTAAAAATGCCAATTAAAACACACTTTAGGATTAGAATATAGAACAAAGAAAGATCTCCTTGGTCTAAAGTGTTCAAACAGTTCAAACATACAAAGATGTCCTTAAAATATTCTTTTATAATATTTGTAATAACAGCCACAACTTGTGTGCCTAATCTGTGTCGAGCACCATACTAGGCATTATATATACTTTAAAATCTTCATTAACAAACCCTAAAAATTACCTGCTACCATTCCTATTTTGCAGAGGAGGATAAGAAAAAGTATCTCCCCAAGGCAGAGAGCAAGTATGAATTACATAACCAGGATGTGAATTCAGAAATGACTGGTTCCAAATCCACATTCTACTCAATATCCAATGCTTGTACAATATAATGTCAGTATTGCCTGTAGTTACCCAATTCTAAATGAAGTAGTTTCTTTTATAGTGGAATTAGTAATAAACTTTAAATAAAGTGTAATGTAGTAAAAATTAAGTGGGACTACTTAAAAACAAATACTTTAGTCTGGAGCCTATATAACAGCAGTACTGAAAGTGGTGGTCTTAAAAAGTTCTCGTTTCCATAAAGAAAAAAAAGGACATTCACTGTGTAATATACATACATGTGCTAAAGCAGTCATTTATTTCCCAAAGTTGTTCAAAATTAATACATGTCAAAATTTAAGTTGTATTACTACTTATTTTTAATACTTATTATTATCAGTAAATGTTAAAAATGGGTATATATGTTCATGTATAATCTTAAATCCAATCAAAGTCAGATCTTAAGTCAGATAAACTCGTATTATAAGCACGGAGAAGAAAAATTCAACATTGAAAAAAATTCTGTTACATTTTGAGGCCTGATTTGCTATTTGTTTTTTATTCCCCCCAGATACACATTATAATTTGTGATAATTAAAAGGGGAAAATAAAAGAAATACCATTGGTAAAATCAATGAGTAAGGCCATTGTTCCAAAATACTGGTAAGTGTTTGATAAAGAGTTATAGATTACAGTATTCTTTGTCAGAGAAATATTTTGTGATTGGAAAATAGTAAATTATTTTTTATAATACAGATTACTTACTTTTATAAGTGTAGACACCAGTTCAAATGATCCAACCACCAAAAGTATAGGGGCTATTACAATGAGAGGAAGTAATGAATATCCTATAACTCCAAGAACTTGGCCATATGCAACCTGTGAATTTTCAAATTTTTAAATAAATATCACAGAAGTCAAGATACTTATTTAAGTCATTCTTGAACATTATACATTCTTTGCTGTACTTACATAAATGTGAGAATTAAGAAGAAACCATGATATTATACCCATTATATTTCAAATTATCATATTCTGTGCTATATTTTTTCCTATGTATATATTAACTTACAATAAAGTTTTATTTGTAATTTAGGTAGAATGACAAATTAACAATAATAGAACAATTATAACAATACTATATTGTAATAAAAATTATATGAATATGGTCTCTCTCCCTCTGATAACTGCTCTTATACCCAAGTATCCTACTAAGTGACCAACAGGCAGGTATGTACAGAGTAGATACTAACCAAAGGGACGAATCCACTCCCTGCATAAGATAGCATAAGATTCTATCATGCTACTCAGAATGGCATGCAATTTAAAACTTATGAATTGTTTTTTCTATAATTTCCCATTTAATATTTTTGGATGGCAGCTGATCACAGGTAACTGAAACTGTGGAAAGCAAAACCACAAGTAAGAGAGAACTATGGGCCCCGACTGGTGTGGCTCAGTGGACTGAGCACTGGCTTGTGAACCAAAGGGTTGCTGGTTAGAATCCCAGTCAGGGCACATGCCTGGGATGCTGGCCAGGTTCCCAGTGGAGGGTGCATGAGAGGCAACCACACATTAATGTTTCTCTCCCTCTCTTTCTCCCTCCCTTCCCTTGTCTCTAAAAATAAATAATAAATAAAATTAAATTAAAAAAAAAAAAGAGGGAACTACAGTACTGACAAAAATATAAAACAACACTACCAGCCCTGGCTGGCATAGCTCAGTAGATTGAGTGAAGGCTGCGAACCAAAGTGTCGCAGGTTCGATTCCCAGCCAGGGTACATGCCTGGGCTGCAAGCTACGGCCCCCAGCAACCGCACATTGATGTTTCTCTCTCTCTCTCTATCTCCTTCCCTTCCCTCTCTAAAAATAAATAAATAAAATCTTAAAAAAAAAAGCCAGTTTAAAACAACACTATCCTTCTCATTAGCATTTTTGTTTTGCAAAAGTTATTTTTCTTTAAATATGTTAAAGTAAATTTGGTTTATTTTTTATTTGGTTTAGTTTTAAATGAATAAATATGTATTTTAAAATTTTAATTTATAACATGGTAAATATTGATAAATATAACCCACATAAAGAAATTTCCTTGGGGACCTGAGATCAAAAAGTATGAAAAATTCTGTACTAGAGACTAAATTGTATGCTTCCCGAAAAAGCCATAAATTACCTATAAGTGGAATGGATCTTTTCTTTCTACTTAATTCCTTATAACATTATTGAGTATGTACAATACTAATATACTGATTCTCTGAAAGGATGTAGCATAACTTAAAAGCAATTCTAAGACAAGAAACAGATATGATGAATATAGCCACTGATGGTATCTGCAATATCAAAAATAAAGCTTACAATATTAAACAAAGGTTATTTTCAAAATTAACCACTTACTTCTCCACCAAGAACTCTGGCCAGTAAAAATATTGTTAGTGAACCAAATATCCAAATGGTTATAATCCATGATACCACCTAAGAGGAAAAAAATTCATGCAATTGAATATAAGTTCCTAGAACTCAAATCTCTGCCATAAGATATTTTGATATACCAATTTCAGGTCCCAGAGTGTTCTGTCTGGTTCCCAGGTATCTTTCCAAAAACTTCTTAAGATTACCATGTGGTAATTTTGCATACAAATGGAAAATTTAGCAATGATCAATTGCCTAAGGAAACCTCAGTACTTCAATAATTATGATAAAAGATTACTGTCAAAAGAGAACAAAGTGGTTACTCCCAAACCCTTGGTTTACACTATCCTGCAAGGAAAATTCATCCCTGAAACAAGCTATCAATCTTCTTGGGAGGTCTTTAAAGTTTGTATTAATTACACATTTATTCAAGTAATAGAATGGAAGCCATTTCAGACAATTTTAACTCCTGAGACTTAACATAATAATGATACAACATGCATATATTTTCAACTTCTGTCTACTTGGATGGTCTAAAAATAATGATGTCCCAGCAGTTATTTAAGCATACTTATTGCCCAGGTTTTGGTTTCTAAATATCATTCCCTAATAAAAGGAATTTGGTTCCTTAGAGAAATGGTTGATTCCAAGGATGAGGCAGGTAAAATAAAATATAAGCCCAGAACACTTGGTGGAATCAGAAGGAAAGAAAGTTCTCAACAAATGGTGGGAGTATGTTAAAAGGACACAGAAACTAATCTGAAGAAGCTCCCAATGGCTAAAGCCGAAACAAGCTAAGGATGAGGGAATGATTTGTGTTATGTTGTATTTTAATGATAAAGCCTATAGGGAACCAGTCCGAGTGGCAATGGCAAATGTAGCTCAGCCCTGGTTTGGAAAACCCACAGGTGAGAGGCAGCACACAGGTCCACAGATCAGCTTTCCCATGGGAACCAGGCCTGCATTGTACTTAGGCTGCTTTGAGGCTTGCTTTTGCTGAAATTCTTTCACCCTGAGTTAAGACAGCATATGTTTAATGCTTATCTTTGATGTAACTTCCTAAAGTCTGTGCTAAACCTCTAGAGGACAGAGTGTAACCAGTTCAACCACTTTTTCCCTTGCATTTGCAACATCCTTTTCTTTGTTATCTGTAAAATGTAATAACTAAAGCAAACCTGGGCATAATAAATGAGGACCTTCCTTGATGTAATGCTCCCAGAAAAGCAATAAAAGCCTGTCCAGGCAAGGGTCGGGGTGCTCTCTCACTCAGAGAGTGACCACGCCGTCCCTTCTCTACACAGGACTTCTACAGTCCATGTGAATTTGTTTGTCGCATCTATAACACCACAGACACCAATGGTCAGAGCCCGCATCAAAAGCCTCTGATATCAGGACAAAGTATTATATAAAAACAAATACCGATGGAATCCTTATCATCATTTGTTAAAACATTTATTTTAAAAAACTAAAATGAATAAAAGGTAAGAACAAGATTATGAGTTTTGTGTTTTAAACTCTTTATCCCTTGGAGAAATTAGAAAGGGCACAGGCAGCCACTTTGGTCACTTCTGGTCAGATGGGGTTAGTTCCATCCATTTACCCCAGTTGCTTATTAATACAAATATTAACACTTTTGATGTAGAAAAATTTGGAAAGCATTAATCTAAGGTACTCCCTGCATATTTACTTAAGACTAGTTCTTGGGATAAATAAGTGAGAATAAGTACAGGTAAGGCATTTCTCAACTATAGGCATTTCTTAACTATGTGGTATCATAGTTAATATTTGGCTATTTTAATTTTAAAACTCTTAAAATATTTAGAATTTACATAAAGTAAGATATACTTACCCTAAACTGTCCATATAACGATATCATGGAAAAGAAAAGAACAACAGCCAGTGGACCCCAAAAGTCAGGATTATCTCTCACCACTTGTCTGTTAAAACCCAGTGATGGCATTGGCATCAAAACACAACGGATTTTGTAGTAAATATCCTTTAGATCGATATCCAATTCTTCCCTGTAATTGTAAATTGTAATTGTAAAATAAAAATTCTTAAAAGGCATACAACACTACTGAATACTGTTATATTTACTTATTTTTAAAAGATTTTATTTATTTATTTTTAGAGAGAGAGAGGGTGAGGGGAGAAAGGGAGGGAGAGAAATATCAACCTGCGTTTGCCTTTCACATTGCCCCCCACTGGGGACTGGGCCTGCAACCCAAGTATGTACCCTGACTGGGAAGCAACCCATTGGTTCACAGGCTGGCGCTCAATACACTGAGCCACAGCAGCCAGGGCCTGAATACTGTTATATTTAAACTTATGTTGAAGGAGAACTTAAATTTAAATATAATGGTATAGTCTCTATAGGTCAACAAAACATTTACATTTGAAGTACCATATTTCACTGATTCCAAGGTACACATTTTCAACATTTTAACATCTCTAAAGTTGGGATGAATCTCACGATCGCTGGTGCTTTACAATTGCTGTCAGCCTTAAACGAAGCCAGGTGCTTCTAAGACCTGCCTTCTCTTTTGCCAGTCTCCTAAAGGCACTACCAATTTGGGACTTTAAATAAAATTCTCTGCTTGAGACTTTTTTTGTGCCATACTGACAATCAGACTGGATTCCTACATGAGAACTGGTATAGATTTTACACTCTCAGGAAAAAGTTTTCCAATACCCCACCAAGTGCCAAACTGAGACAAATAACTGCCCCCTGCTATCTCTTTTTGTATGATAGGTTATTTCTCATTTATCCTTACACCAAGAAGATAGCCCTCTGATGTCCTAGCTCCATGCTATCTTAAGCACTTTTTCTTTCTTACTGATAAATGTAAAATAACTGCACCTTATAATTCATGGCATCTTAGATTTGATGAAATATGACATATAAACATAGAAATGAGATGTAATAACAGCACTTCATCTACCAGTAATTACTGCAGAGAATAATTTGGTAATGCCTTGATTTTACAAAGCTATAGTTTCTACTTTCAAAATTAGTAATTTTTTTCTTTATTGATTTGAGAGAGAGAGAGAGAAACCCTGGTTTATTGTTACCCTTATTTATGGTTCATTCTTGTATGTGCTCTGACGGGAATCAATCCCCAACCTTGGTATATAGGGACAACATTCTAACCAACTGAGCCACCTGGCCAGGGCCCAAAATTGTTAAATTCTTCACTTTTTCCCCCAATGATAACATAGTAACAAAAAAAAGGGGGGCAGGGAGAGAAAGAAAGAGAGAAGAGAGAGAGAGAGAGAGAGAAAGAAAGAAAGAAGGAGAGAGAGAGAGAGAGAGAGAGAGAGAGAAAGAAAGAAAGAAAGAAAGAAAGGGAGATAGAAAGAGAGAGAAAGAGAGAAAGAAAAGAAAGTCTCCCTACAATCCTCAGTGGTAGCTTTAAAATTTCTATATGGGAGAGATTTGGAAGTGATAATCTTTTTAGAAGTCTTAAATTGTCCTAAACTGAATTTCCACAGCAAGCACCCAAGTGGTCTCTTTCAGATTGCATGTTTACATGAGATAGCTATAGACCCAGGTAAGCCCTAACAGCCTATAGTATGTGTGTCTGTGTGTGAGAGAGAGAGAGAGAAAAGGAGAGAAAGGAAGAGACAGAGAGAGGATTATGATTCTTTTATTTTTTGCTATTTAGCAGGTTAAAAATATTCTCCCATTCAAGTACTAACCAGGCTTGACTATGCTTAGCTTCTGAAGTCAGATATGATCAGATGCATTCAGGGTGGAGTGGCCACAGATAATTTTAATACAAATAAATACATACATGCATACATACATACATACTTGAAAACATCCAGGGGAAACAAATGAATACTGCAAAATAAGCCACCTTGACAACATTTACAGTATAAACTGGAAGATTTTTTTTAAAAGTCTCACTGTTTTTCTAATTACTAGTAAAACTGGAACAGCTAAAACTTTTCACCAAAAAGGTTAAGATTTTCTATACTTATTTTCAAATAACAATGAAAGAATACAGCCATCCTACAGACTAGCTCTAAAAACCAAAAGCTACATATTATTTTTACATACAAGAGTGGCTTGTTATCTTCAGGATCATCATCTTCAACTTCCAAAAGCCAGCCATATCCTCTTTGTCTCAGAAATGTAGTAGCTGTAGATTCTTTGATGAAATCTCCACCAAGGTTTAACTTGACATCTGGAGCTGCTATTGAACCACTGAGCTCTTAGGAGAAAAGAGGAAAAAACTGTAAGCCAATGTAAAATGTGTGAATCTTAACTAATATAAGCATAAATTTAAGATAATTATCATTTGAAGACCTACTATTGTATGAAATCTTCATATTTTAAAGTTATAGATATCTAAGTATTGCCTTTTATTTTACATTAAGAAAATGAAAGATGAGGGAGGTGAAGACATATGAAAAGTTTCACAGATAATTAGCTGGACCAGTACCAAAATCTAGACAATAATTTAAATTTTTTTCAATGCTTATATTTTATTTTTAAATTAAATTTATTGGGGTGACACTGGTTAATAAAATTACATAGGTTCGAGTGTACATTCTATGACACATCATCTGCATTGTGTGCACCATCCAAAGTCAAATCTTCTTCCATCACCATATATTTGACCCCCTTTACTCTTTACTACCTCCCAAACCTCTTTTCCCTCTAGTATCTACCACACTGTGGCCCGAGTCTATGAATTTTTGTTTTTCTTGTTTATTTGTTGCTTTCAGAACTTTATATTCTTTCTTATTTATTTACCTATATTTTATTTATTTTTAGAGAGAGGGGAAAGGAGGAAGAAAGAGAGGGAAACCTCTATGTGCAAGAGATATGTTGATTAGTTGCCTCTTGCATGCCCCCAAGTGGGTACCTGGCCTGCAACCCAGGCATGTGCCCTGACTGGGAATGGAACCCATAACCCTTTGGTGCATGCTCCAACCAACTGAGCCACCTGGCCAGGGCTAGAATTCTGGAATGGTACTTTAAAAAATAATTTTGGCAACAGCAAACCAAAGCATTCTTAACACAGACGTTCCTTCTCTGGAGATCAAATACAGTATATAGAAGAGCTTAATTTTAACCTAAATTTTAGGTTAGCTTTTAAGAACGTCATCAAAATTTCAGCTTCAACTTCAGTCAATGAGTGGATCAATTATGAGTCACATCTTGGTCTGGCTGTGACAACTCCTGAAAGTAATTATAAGAAAATGAAGCTAAGTCCTAGCTTAGCTAGTAATTAATACAGCAAATCATTACTGTCTTCTGGTCTCCATGTTCTATTCAAAGTTCTCTTCCAGTTTTAACATTATATGATTCTAAATAGGTTTTATAAGGGCATTTATTCAACTAAAGATAAAATCAAAGTTCTTTTGAATTCCCTGTCCTTCCCTACTTAAAGTTTAAAAATAGTTCCTGTAGATGCTACCATAGAATCCTGTAATTAAAATATTCTCTCAAAATTACTTGCTGCTTCTTTGTCTTTGCCTTAGTTGAAAATGAGTTAAAATTTAACTGAAGTTCCATTTCCACTAGGTATAAGGAATGCTTTTCCTGATTTAACAAGAGGAAGATCTAGGTCAGGAAGTCATTAGTGCAGCAGTGACATTAAAGGTTTTTGAATTATGAGGCAGGAAAGGACCTCAATAACTATTTCCTGGCCTGTACAAAGGACTACACTTCTTGATCAAACTCAAAGAAGGATATATAAATTATGATAAGGAATGCTATAATCAAGAATTGTGTATGTTCAGCAGTTTGTCATAGCATGGGTGCCAGAACATCAAAAAAGCACCTGTAGCTTACAATTTTATAGCACTTCCCATTCCAAACAAAATGGGAAAATATCATGGACATATATGCAGGGGTGCCAGTGACAGCAGTACCCCAAAGACCTAATCACTGTGGGAACAGAAAAATCCAAATATTGGTGGCTAGCCTAACATGTTAGCAAACTAACAAGAGTAATGTCACAAATAAGGAAAAAAGATTCCAGATCACTCCAGGAGCAGTTGCCTTAAGTTAAACCAGAATAAGAACCACCTAGCTTGGCTGTCAACTCTAGAATAGGTATATAGAATTTTAAAACATGATTTTTAGGCCAATTCTTTCTTATTGCACTATGTGTTCTTGTCATTTAAAAAAATATTTTATTTTCAGAGAGAAGGGAAGGGAGGGAGAAAGACTAGGAAAGAAACATCATCTGCTGCCTCCTGCACACCCCAACTGGGGACCTGGCCTGCAACCCAGGCACGTGGCCTGATAGGGAATGGAATTGGCAACCTTAGTTCATGGGCCAGCGCTTAATCCATGGAGCCACACCAGCCAGGGCTCATTTTCTAAATAAGAAAAATGTAAAGATAATAAATACGTGAGTTTAAGAGGAAATAATCTTTGGGAAAAATCTATTTCAAAAGGAAATCTTAAAAATATTTAGCCCTGGCTAGTATGACTCAGTGGGTTGAATGCTGGCCTGTGAACTAAAGGGTTGCTAGTTCAATTGCGAGTCTAGGGCACATGCGCCTGGGTTGTGGGCCAGGTCCCCAGTAGGGGGTGCTCAAGATGCAACCACACATTGATGTTTCTCTCCCTCTCTTCTCCTCTTTCTGAAAATAAATAAATAAAATGTTTAAAAAATATGTTTCCATTGGCCCCAGCCGGGTAGTTCTATTGGTTAGAGTGTTTTCCCAATATTCCACGGTTGCAGGTTCGATCCAGGTCAGGGCACACACAGAAAGCAACCAATGAATGCATAAATAAACAGAACAACAAACAGATACTTCTCTCTCTCTCTCTAATCAATAAAAATTAAAATTTTTATTAAATGTTTCCACTGGTGCTTGGGTTCTGAGTGAGAAAGAATATCATTAAGTTTCAGGTTTTATTGAAAGCCACCTGGGAAAACTACAAAACAAAATTCAACAGTAACTTTTCCTCCCTTAAAATTCAAGTGTATTAATGGGCGAGGGATCCTTTCTCTGAATTTTCTATTCAGCCTGAGAACTTCACTTTGAAAGGTAAGGAAGAACTCAGTCAAGTGCAGTATGATAGTACATCCAGAAGATTTAGTGATCTGCCCCTAGACAAGTGCCAGATTTCTGTGAAAGAAAAGCATCCTGCAACGAATAATGAACATTTTGTTGGCAGTTGCCAACTTCTTATATATGTGAAGAAGCTTTTTCTTATTCAACATGCAATAAAAACAAAGACAAAATCATCTCATTCATCTGAAAATAAAATCCATGTGTGCTTAAATCCAAACCAGAACTGAGTATTTCTGCAGCAAAACAAAAGAATCACGTTTCACAGTATAGGGATAAATTCCACCATTTCATTTTAATTATAAAAACATTCTAATGCATATATAGGATCAATGAAAAAATATATCAAGAAACCAATGCAAGTACATGATTTTATAATTGCTAGATATATATTCAAATTTGCTTGATCATGACATTCCATAAAATTTTTTAAAAAGCTTTGTATAAAACTGTGTCTTACATTACATTTTTATTCATATTGTTTTGATTTATGGTTTTAGTTGCCTTACTATTCAATGTCAGTAAATTTTCATAATGTACATGATATTAATTAAAACCAATTAAATCTCCTGAACCTATCTTTAGAAAAATTGAATCCCATTTTGGGATAAACCAGTTATTTAACAGAAATTTCTTCTATTTGCATACTTTGTCTTTTAACTTATCTTGAAATAATTAGAGATTCACAGGAATTTCCATAAATAGTACAGAGAGGTTGCATGTACCTATCACCCAGTTTCCCCTAAGGTACCATCTTATGTAACTATCAAAACCAGGTCATTGCTCTGACTGGTGTGGCTCAATGGATTGAGTGCCAGCCTGTGAACCGTAGGGCTGCTAGTTTGATTCCTACTCAGGGCACGTGCCTGGGTTGTGGGCCAGGTCCCCAGCGTGTGGGAGGCAACTGATCCGTGTTTCTCTCCCTCTCTTACCCTCTCTCTAAAAGTAAACAAATAAAATCTTAAAAAAAAAAAAAAAACAAAAAACAAACTGGGACACTGACATATCCTCAAATTTTACCAGTTTTGCATGCAGTTATATTTGCATTTGTGTGTAGTTCTCTGAAATTTTATCACATTTATAGATTTGGTCAATGCCTTATATGTTTAAAATTTATGAAAAGAAACAGATTTTTTAAAAAGGTAAACCTTACTTAACTACCTTTTCTTTCCAAGAAAAAGTTGGCTAAAAAGTCATTTTCAGTTTTCAAATAGGGAGGGAAAGCTATTCTTGCACCCATTAAATACCATATATTAAACTTCATTAGCAAATCATATAGAAGATATTTATGATATTACCTACATGGATACAATTTTTAGAAAATCAAGTAGGACATTTTCTCAAAAGATAAAACTAAACATTCTTCTGTCTATACTACAACTTGTATTAGAGGTGATATCCTTTCTGGGGAGGGGTAACCTGATACAAAGAGTAGGCTAGATGTTTGGTCACATTAACAAATAAAAAATTATCATTTACTTAAAAGAGCACTGACAATAATTATAGGATTATTATTTCTACAACTTACTGATCACAGTAATGTACTGTGAGTTGTAGATACTATTCAAGCTAAAATAAAACTGCTCCTATTCTGATGTTTCATAACATTCTAAATCAGTGCTTCTCAAGCTTTAATGTGCATATGAATCACCAAAATCATTTGAATCACCATTTAAAATGCAAATCATGCTTAAGCAGATTCTGCATTACTAAGTGCCCAGGTAAAGCCAAAGCTGATGGTCTGTGGACATAAATCATGCAAAGCATTACTATTTGTCTGATACAAAAATAAATTCAAAAGATTATCATAAAGACTTCTATATTAGACTACACAGATACACACATACTTGTACATCATTACATTCTTGCACTTACACACATGCATTTCATGTACTGCTTTTTTTTTTTAATTTATTTTTAGAGAGGGAAGGGAGGGGGGAGAGAGAGAGAGAAAGAGAGAGAGAGAGAGAGAGAGAGAGAAACATCAATGTGTGGTTGCTGGGGGTTATGGCCTGCAACCCAGGCATGTACCCTGGCTGGGAATCGAACCTACGACCCTTTGGTTCGCAGCCCGCGCTCAATCCACTGAGCTATGCCAGCCAGGGCTCATGTACTGCTTTTGGATGTAATTTTCTACATAAATATTTGGTATGGATTTCATTATTCACTTATTTATTCATTTATTGGCTTATTCATACATAGCTCATGGTCTTTCAACTCTACTTACGGACTTTGCTTTAATACACATAAACAATTCTTACAATATTCTCATAAGTGGTATGCTTTTCATTTTATACATGACGAAAGAAATGCTTACAGAAGCAGTGGACATTTTCCAGTATCACATAGTTACTGTAAGAGTCAGGACTTTAACTGAAGTCTTCTGGCTCTAAATCGAGTAATTTTATTTTGTTATTCCATTCAAATATGCTGTTTTGTAGTCCTGAGTGTCAATATCACTTAAGACAAAAGAAAACATGTTATTTATTCCTGTAACAAATAATTATTTTGTAATGTTCATATTCTGGGTTCTGTGGTAGGTGCTGGGATATAGAAAAGATTAGAGAAGTTTCCGTTTCTGAGGGACAGTTAAGCAAGGTTTCACCAAGGAAGGAGCATTTGAGTTGTCTTAAGTTTCAACCTGGGGTAAGGAGGAGAAAGGCATTTTAAGCATGGGGGCTAGAAATGCATAGATACGGAGAGGAAACATCAGACAGATTTTTGGACAAAGGGTATGTGTGGTCAAATAGTAAGGGCAGATACCATTAAGGAAAAGAGATGTGGACAGGAGGAAGGTATGCACTGAAAACATCTGAGTCAAAAACATTCATGGTTAGGAAAACTGCATAGAAAGGGAGAAGCAAGAATTTGTGTGACATGCTCGGGGATGAGAGAAAAGACTTGGGAGTTGCAGAGTACAGTGTTCATGTTGGAGAACAATAAGAACTAAGTGGTGTGGCTCAGTGGGCTGGGCATTGTCCTGTGAACCAAAGGGTTGTCAGTTTGATTCCTGGTCAGGGCATGTGCCTGGGTTGCAGGCCAGGTGCTGGATTGGAACTGTGCAAGGGGCAGCTGATTGATGTTTCTCTCCCTCTCTTCCACCCTTCCCCTCTCTCTAAAAATAAATAAATAAAATTTAAAAAAGAAAAAGAACTAAGTGCAGAGCCAGTTTATACTGAAACCCAAGCAGCAGCAGCATTGCTAACATGAATTGAGCACTTAACCTGGCCAGACATAGTAGTAAGTCCTCTGCATTTGCAAAATATTTGAATACTTGGGTATTATTATCCCCATTTTATTTATAAGAAAAATTAGGTTAAGAGAAATGAAGTAACTTGCTCAATATCTTCTAGACAGCAACTGGTAAAGCCAGGATGCAAACCCAAGACTCTTTAACGCTACATTTCAAATACACTACTCAATTTATAAAAATATAAGAAAGAGGCACCATGGTTTAGTGGAAAGAAATCTGAAGACATGGAATACTCAATTTCAATTCCAGATCTTTCATGTGGATGTTACTGAACTTCTCTAAGCTTGTTTTTTTTTCAGCTAGATTTAATGTTTTACTGTAATAAAATATTTATTGTTCATCCTTGCTCTAGGGATAAACATAAACATGGCCACAAAAGATTGCACAAACAACCTGGACCAAAAGAACATTGAAAATTGGCATAGGGATTAAAATATTCAACACAACCTATAACAATTATAAATGTCTCTAAATCTGTTTTATTATAAAATACAGGAATAATAAAACTCAGCAGGATTCTTTTTTTTTAAGATTTTATTTATTTATTTTTAGAGAGGGAAGGGAGGGAGAAAGAGAGAGAGAGAGAGAGAGAGAGAGAAACATCAACGTGCGCTTGCTGGGGCATGTACCCTGACTGGGAATCAAACCTGCGACACTTTGGTTCGCAGCCCGCGCTCAATCCACTGAGCTGCGCCAGCCAGGGCACTCAGCAGGATTCTTATAAAGACCAACCAAGACATATGCTTAAAATACTCTGTAAATGTAAGTATGTATAAAGTTATACAGATGAGGGTGTTATTACATGTCTATATATCCTTGGCTATATAGGGAGTCTATATATCTTTGAAGGCTATATGAAGTTTGAATAAACCTTATGGATTTTACTTATTCTAGGTTTCTTGGTTTATTATATAGAGTCAATGGGTTAGCTCATTATATTATTTTGTCCCATTTATGTGTATTAAGAAAGGTAATTCCTAGGGGAAGGGAGAATATGAAAAATGTATGCAATGATAGAAAACTTTGGCTCTGGTTCATCAGGTTCTGATACTCAATGACACATTTTTCTTTAAGTCTGGGAAATTAAAGTTGATATTCCTCCCGAAACACTACGCTACCAAGTATAGATGAATAAATGGAAATATTTTGGGTTACTTTATTGCACCAAATATTCCTAAGAGTTTAAAAGAAATGGGGTGATAGAGTTGGTGGACTGGGTGGATAAGGTGAAAGGACTAAGAAATACAAATCACTGGTTACAAAATAGTCATGGGGATGTAAAGTACAGCGTAAGGAACATAATCAATAACACTGTAATAACTCTGTGTGGTGCCAGGTGGGTACTGGAGCTATGGCGGAGGGAGTAGGGGGTGGGGACGAGGGTCACTTTGTAAAGTATATGACTGTCTAACCACGACGCAGTACTCCTGAAACTAATGTAAAATAATATTCAATGTAAACTGTAATTGAAAAAAATGTATCAGTTATATTCTTATGATAAAATGTTTTCACATCTTAAATTATAACCAAAACTACAGTACTATTAATTAAACAATACCAATCAAAAAGCAAAATAAGGGGAGGAGGGAAAACCAGCTATATTAACTGCTGCACTACGAAACCGGATTTCTGAGGAAATACTACATTCTTCTTTAGACTGAAGTTTCTTACAGCTAAGTATAATTTATTTTTTCGTATTAGGCAGTAAGTCTGGCCACCGGAAAATCGCTGGCGTACAAAGTGCAGTCAACCTAAAATTTTGAAAATGACTAGCAGAGAAAGATTCCAGTTTCAAAGAGCCTGGTAAGGAACAGAGAAAAGGAAGAAAACACCATTTCCTGTGCTGTAGAAAAATTTCTCCGCCACAACTGCTTCGTCAAAACAGTCACTACAAGGAAAACTGCAGAAGCTAGGGGAACATTTAGCCGGATTACAAGTTCCAATACACCAGGGTCTACTTCTCTGAATATTAGGTCAACCACTGGGCGGGGGGGAGGGGGGACAGCAGGAAAACGAACGGAGGCAAGATATCAAACTCCACGTCTTTGCGGAGCCGAATCCAATCCCAGCAAAAATTACTGATGTATCAATGAGAGGAACACCGCTCTCCTTCCTCGTCCTGACCCTCGACACCTACCCGGGACAATCTTACCATCGCTTTTCGGAATAATAACAGCAAGTCATCTCATTAAAAATCTTCGGGTTCCGTGGGTCCACCCGAGGCAGGCAAGGACCCCAGAAGAACCTGCCCCAGACGGAGCAGGGATGGCCGCGCTGACCGAGAGGCTGGGAACGCTCCCCGCGGCCCTCCCCCGGCCCCTCGGGGCCCCTCGAAGGCCTCCCGGGCGCAGCCCGCCTCCTGCGGCCCCCGCCCGGCCACTAGCGCCTCGGCAACAGAGAGACCCCGCCGCGTAGGGCCCGGCGTCCACCGGCGCGCGGAGCCCTCCCAGGACTCAGTCTCACCTTCCGCGTCGGCCGAGGAGACAAAGGTGAAGTCCCCATTAGTAGGGGAATACGCCGGGGGCGGGCCCGGCGGCTGCATATCGCGGCCGCTCGGGGCCGGCGGCGGTGGAGGAGGCTGAGGCTGGGCCCGCGCCCCAAGGCGGCCGCGGCGCCGACCCGCACGCGCGCCCTACGGTGCTGCCGGAGACCCGGGAGGTGCAGGCTGCGGCGTGGCCCGCGACGAGCGTAACAGGATGCTGAGCTGCCCCTGACACAGCCCCACCAAGGTCCCCTCGGTGGCGACCGCCCCAGCACCGCGAAGCCGGCGCCCTGACAGGACCATAACAGTGACAGCACCACTCGGATTGGCTCTTTGTAATGTGCTCTCCCATTGGCTCCCGGAGAAATGTCCTGATTGGGTCCCCCTGTTGTTGATCCCGGAAGTTTACCCAGGAGCGGAAGTTCACTTCTAATGCGTGGACTACTCCGGCTTTTTCCGCCCTGTTGGCTGTTTTTGTTTGAGCCTCCTGTGTTCTGTCTTTTGTTTTCCTTAGTTTCTCCGTTCGTGTTAACTGGGTGGCTTAAAGAATTTTAGAACTAGGAACGTTTCTAGAGGTCAGCCCCAGTTTATGATCCCAAGATTTTGTTAGGGGATGGACAAATGCCACGAAAACGTCACAAGTGAAAATGCCACGAAATTTACCACTAAAGATTCCTTAGAATAACTACATTAAAAAAACCATGCATTTACTATACTAGTATGTTAACAACAGGAAAGTAGATGCAGGCGTGTATGAGAACTCTGTAATATCTTGACAGTTTTTCTGTAAATCTGAAAGTGCTTTAAGAAATAAACTATTTTTAAAAACTGATAATACCAAACATTGACAAGGATATGGACCAACTAGAACTAACAAAGACAACTATTAGATAATGTTTTTAAGTAAAGTTAAGCCTTTACTAATCTCGTGAGCCATCAATTCCAATTCTAAGTATTATATACCTAATGAAGCCTATGTCTACACAAAGACTTGTACAGAAATGTTTATAGCAGTTTTATGCATAACAGTCAAAAACCAAAAGTCTATGAACAGATTAATGGAAAACTGGATAAGTAAATTGTGATGCATATATACATTGTGACACGTGATACTGAGTGGGCCAAAAAGTTCATCTAGTTTTTTCCGTATAATGACTCTAATAGTACTTAGTTGTCTTTAACTTCATTCAAAATAATTTTGTTAGATTGTATTTTGACAGATGTCATGTCAGTGTACACTTAAAAAAAATCAAAACTGGTGAATTTTTGTGCTGCCATTTTAATATTGAAGATGAAAGAAGATACGCAACATTTTTGGCATATTTATGCTATATTATTTCAAAAAAGGTAAAAATGCAAAAAAAAAGATTTGTGCAGCCTATGGAGAAGGTGCTGTAACTGATTGAACGTGTCAAAAGTGGTTTGCGAAGTTTCTTGGTACTATTGACATTGTAGCCAAATAATTCTTTGCTGTGGGGCTGGTGTCAAAAGTGGTTTGCGAAGTTTCTTGGTACTATTGACATTGTAGCCAAATAATTCTTTGCTGTGGGGCTGGTGTCAAAAGTGGTTTGCGAAGTTTCTTGGTACTATTGACATTGTAGCCAAATAATTCTTTGCTGTGGGGCTGTCTTATGCATCGGAAGGTGTTTAGCAGTGCCCCCAGCCTCTACCCACTAGCAGCTGATAGCGGGAGACAGCCAACATACTCAAAATATCCAAATCAATAAAGTTATTGGTGAAAATGAAAAATGTGTCTTTTATGGAAAAAACTAAATGAACTTTATGGCCAATCCAATACTTAACTGTACCTAATACATACCATGGGATAGCAATAAAAAGGAATGAACTAATGATATATATAAGAACATGAATGAATATCAAAAAAACATGCCAAGTGATAGAAGACAGACACAGAAAAATATATACTTTATGATCCCATTCATAAGAAATTCTAAACCAGATACATTCTAATCCATGGTGATAAAAAGCAGATCAGTGGGTGTCTGTGACCAGAGCTGGTGGACAGGGAAACTGCCTACAGATAGGTTTGAGGGAATATTTTAGGGCCATGGAAATGTTCTGTATTATGTTTGGAGTGTTCTTTAGCAAACTCATCCAACTGTACAACTTTAAATAGCTGTATTTTCATATGTATACACTATAATTCAATAAAGTTGATTTACAAGAGAAGAGGCAAAAGACTTTAACAGGCAGTTCATACAATGAAAATTCAGAATTGCCAGGACATGTGTGATTACATTTAGGGCTCATCCTAAAAATCCAGAATCACCTGCCCCATCTGAAGATCCCTAATATAACCACATCTACAAAGATACAACATTTACAGTTTCTAGAGAATAAGACCTGATATAGTTGTGTGGCCCATTACAACTACATTTCTACATTTTTCCCTTTTATCCCGTATTACATCATTTGTTATTACAAAAGTAATAGATGTTTGTGGTAGAGAATTAGAATTTACAGATAAGCAATAGAAGAAAATAAAATTATCCATAATCCTACCCCCAGAGATAAGCACAGTTAATATTTTGGTACCCAGCTTCCCAGTTTTCTCTCTGTGAACGTACATTTACATGTAGGTCCCACTAAAGTTTTAAAAATTGACCTGATAGCACAGTCCTTGATTCCACTTCTCAGAAGTGCACCTCGCAAGTTGGGAAACACTGCTATTATTCCCACAGAAAACCTAAAATGTAGAAATTTGTTTAGGGAAAAATTTACATACCCCTCTATGTTAGATAGGTTAATATCAGAATGCTCTTTTTGAATCAGGAAGTTAAGTAACATTACAAAGTTGATGGTCAGTTGCATAATGATAGGGGAAATTACACAAAAATGTAATTCTCTCACCCAGGCATGTGAATGCATGACCTGTGGGCAGCACGCAACCCAGGATGGCTATAAATGCAGCCGGACACAAAACTGTAAAATTACTTAAAACTTTTTGTGTGCTATAAGTTTTTGTTAGTGTTTGTTTATTTAATGTGTGGCCCAAGACAACTCTTCTTTTTCCTGTGTGGCCCAAAGATGCCAAAAGGTTTGACACGCCCTGCCAGATTTCTCCATTTCCAAAGCTTAAGGGAAACTGGCTTCCTGGAGTTCGTGACTACAAGCTTTGACTGTTTTGCTGGCAGGAGGCTGCAGTTCTTTGTATTCAGGAGAATGGCCTGTGTGTTGACAGGGGAGTGAACTGACAGCGGTGATCCATTTGCTCTGTGCTAACTTTGCCCAGGACCCTGGTGGCAGAGAGTTTGCATTTGCTAGAAGTCTTCTGTGACCCAAAGTACAGACGGTAAGCATGGTTTTGACTGCAGCAACAGTGTGCTTTAGCCAACCAAACCAGCTCATTCTCTCTGTCTGTCTGTCTGTCTCTCTCTCTCTGACTCTGTCTCTGTCTCTCTCTACCATAACAATTAAGGCAAATTAAATGTTCAGAACACTGGGCTTCATTTTAAGCTGTGGAATAAATAAGCCAGTAACAATAAAATTTGTATGTCATGAACAAATGAGTGACTGATTCCTTTTCTAATTTAAATTTCTAGCTCTTGCATCTTTAAGTCTCAGGTTTCACTTCTTTGGCTACTTCCACTTACAGTCATTTCCCCTTTCTGAACAGTAGTATTTGTTTCTAAATCATTCTTACTATGCTTTGGGGGGAAAGAGATAGAGAGAGAGATAGAGAGAGAGAGAGAGAGGAATTGCCAGTGTTTGCCTTTGCAATCCCTGGCCACAGAACATGGAGACCCCAAATCCACAGGACACGGGGCTTCACACATGAAACTGAAAGCATATAAAAAGAAACTTTATTTTAAAGGCATCTGCTTCACCAAGAACAGGGCAACTGGATTGTTCAACCAGGTACTATGGGGAGAGAAAATTGGGTTTTAAATGGGTTTTGGAACTGAATACTAAAATTTGGGTTTACATTTATTTAAAGGTTGTGTCTGGGGGTATAAAAGCCTTAATACTGAAGACTGTGGTTTTGCATGTCTGGATTTGCCTGCAGGAAAACTTCTATGGGTGGTTAGTCTGGCCTGGTGGGCTTTCATGAGGTTGCTTGGAACTGATGTGTAAATATACAGTAAGTCAGAAGGGTGCATTTATGTTTACTATGAGGCAAAGTGAGGGAAAAAGCTCTGAAAATACTTTTTGGGTTTATAGGAAGGAAACCTACTTTTGTTCCTAAAACCGTTGTTAGAATCACAGAAGGTGAGCTAAAAGGACCTAGGGGTACTATTCAGGTCACCCAATCATGCAAGAAGTTTTAAAACATGCAATACCTGACTATTTAGTCAGGGGCACTGACCTCTTTTCCCTTAGGTTAAATTAAAAAAGTAACAACAGCCAACACAACAATATTCATCCGGTGTAAATGTCCTGTTTTGAACCACAACTATATAGATCATATAATAGAGTTGCATCTTATTCGTCACGTTGCATAATAACTTTGCATCTGATTGGTTAATTCTTGGTACCAGAAATCCTTATATATAAGCATAGGCACCTGATTTTTTTTAAAAGTCATTTTGGAGCAAAAAGGGTAGGTAGTTACTATTATTATTTTCTGTAAATCAACCAAAATTACACCTACTTTTTCAGATTGTTAAGAAATATATTTTTTGGCATGCTGCAGAATTTTAGTAATTAGCTTATGTGTGCCATGAGATAAAAAAGGTTGAAAATCACTGATCTGGAGAGAAATGAAGGAACCCACTGTTATAGGACACCTATTGTTAATAGAGTCTTTATATACTTTATCTCAATTAATCCTTAGACCCTAGTTTAGATGAGTGGAAAATCTGGTGAAGAGGGGTTAACTGACATGCTTCAGGTCTACAGAAGTGGATTGCAATTGGTCTCCTGTTCTCTTACTAGTTCAGCACACTTCTATAATACTAATTGTTTTAGTCTGTGCAGGCTGCCTTAACAAAATGCTACAGACTGGGGACCAACATGCCGACAGGTCTGGTTTCTCCTGAAGCCTCCGTCCTCGGCTTGCAGATGTCTGCCTTCGCTCCATCTCTGCTCTGAGCTTGCACCTCTGCGGTCTCTGTGTGTACAGATCTCATGGTCTTGTTAAGGGCAGCGCAGTCAGATTGCATGAGGGCTCACCCTAATAGCCTCATTTTAACCTACTTACCTCTTTAAGGTCAGATCTCCACGTACAGCCACGTCCTGAGGGAGTTAGGGCCTCAGCAGATTTGTGGGAACCACAATTCCACCCCCAACACTAATATTAACAGTAATATGTGAGATTTCTGGAGACTGTTGAAAATCTAAGAACATTC